GTTCTGTGCGTAATGTGTGTAATAAGCGATACCGCGTGAAAGATATCTGATAAATTACGAACAATTATGCGTAACAATAAAAAGTACGAAGCCATGCCCACGGTAGAAATGTTCGATATTTTATGGCTTGTTTTCGGACAAAGTTTCTTGGACGTAAAAGGGTCATTAGAATTGGCATCATACGAACCAAAATTGTAACTTTTTTCTCCAAGTTCTTATGATCTTATAAAGGTAGAGGGTTGTTTGATGATTATTTTTGACTATATGAAATTCATACGAATTACCATTAAAACATACGTTCAATAGTTACTTTTAATTTTTTACATTTTATCCTTACAGCAAAATAATTATTATTGAATTTTTCCAAACCCGTATTTTGTCTTATACAATTATTTTGACTTAGCCACTTGCAGGTTTACTGACGAAGGACTCGCCATCTAGTGGTAAAGGTTTAAAGTAGTATTATCGCATTGAAATAGGTTGAAAACTAATTTAAATTTTTTCAACGAATAGAATCGTTATTTTCAAGTCATGAATATTTAATACATACAATAATATATAATTTTAGTCAATCAATGTCACTGCTATTTTAAAACATTTTAAACGATAATCTTTCGTTCATTAAGCCCACACTAATATCAAGCATTTCTACTAAGACAACAAAAAAAAATTAAAAAATCAATCAATCAATCGATTGATCTCTTGCTCGCAACTGTACCGCCCTCGCGAGCCGTCGCACACATAAACTCATGCTGCCGCGGTACTACGAGCCGAATAGCGAAAGCGCGCGTGTACGGCGTCGCTTCCTCCCGCGACTCGTTAATTTCCTCGCGGATTAGGAAATAAGAAAACGCCTCTAGCCATGCCTTCTCGCCCCCGACTGCCGCTCGAGCAATCTTTAAATTCAATCGCACCGAGAGAGAGAGAGAGAGGGACGCTATTTGAAACAATTATCGCTTTGGTACATACGGTATATGCACGGGCTAAACGTTTACAAGTAATATATTATATAATCAGGCGATAAAAGCAATATCCTCGCGAGTTTAAGGTACCTATAGCGTACATACACACACATCCACGCGTGCACATATATATAAATGGGTAAGCTAATTCGATTACTGTGGCAGCACGAATAGAGGAAGTAGCTTCTCTCTCTCTTTCACGTGTATACACGCCCACGCACATACATACGTACATCCAAAGCTCGTGCTTGCAAGTATAGTATAGTATATGTGTGCAGAGGGAAGCGCGCGACACTCACCTGCGGGTGCACACGCCTAGGCCATAAGGCAACGACTACGACGACTATACTACGACGTCAACGTTTACTCGGTGGAAGAGAGAGAGAGAGAGGAGGAAATTCGTGCGGCTGCCGCTGCGCTGTACCGAATTATCGGACTCGATGGAAGAACGTTCAATTTGCCAAATTAATCCTACTGCTCTCCTCGCTCGTTCTCTACGTATATATATACGTATGTGTATGTGTGTGTGTGGGTGGGTGTATCGTATATGTACATATAGCTGCCTGTGCCGCGGCATAGCTTCGTCGTTCGTCATTCGTCCTCTTCGCTCGTCGTCGTCGCTCGTACCGAGTCGTCGAGTTTTCGATGCAAAGCGACTCCGAGCTACTGCGGTTCACGGCTCTCTATATACCTGCTGCTGTATATAGATATATACAGAGAGAGAGAACTGTACGACGCGTAACTTTGCCGAGCTACGCCGATGTTGTACCGTATACACCTTCGGATATATATAGATTCGAAAGCCTAAAGCGTAGCTCTCGTACCTATATATACGTCTCCTATCCCGTATATATACCTGTACCGTACGTGTACGTTTGCAGGTGTAACCCAGAGAGAGAGAGACGAATTTTCGGTACATTCTGTTTTTTTCCCCTTTATTACTCTCGCACTGCCACCGCGCCGTTGTTGGCTGCTGCTGCTTCGCGTCTCTCTCTCTTCCTCGTCTCGACGAGTTGCTCCTTTAATTCGATAAATATATACAGGTATATATGTTATACGTTCTCTCGCTCCAACGTCGTGTAATTGAGTTAACGTATTTACGAACTATGTAGCGCATCCAGCAGCAGCAGCGGCAGTACCGGGTGAAAATCAGATACGAGCTCGACAGTCGAATAATTGTCATGTGTACTTCTTTCTCTCTGGCTCTCTTCTTTCTTTGGTACACCGACGTGTGCGGGTTAAACGCATATTATATAAGTAGCGCAGGATGATTCGACGTGCATATAGCATTATCGTCGTCATCGTCATCATCGCCATTCATACATTATAAAGAGAGAGAAGCCACAGGCGTCATTCGTACGTCTCGTTAAGTTCCTATATATGGACCCAAACGAAGTTTTATTTACCTTGAAATTATTATCAAAATGCGATTAGCGTACAAAAACACACGTGTATACGTAAATTCGTCCTTTTATAAACGCTTTAAAAATATAACACAATTTTTTAACGCGATATATGTAAGTATGATCTCATTTGTGTACGCGCGCGCGGCAATTTCAATCTCTTCTCCGGGGCTCTATGTATATCATGCGCTGTGTTATACGTACCCCCGCGATATGCATAATTTCTCACTCGTGATTTTGACTCGAAATATCTCGGATTTTACGTGATACTATACGACCACGAGTAAGTGTGTGTACGTATGAATGCTTGTGCTTTTCATTCGTCGGCTCGGCCGAGCGCGCGCGTGCCAAGCATAGATCCCGGCCGGGCCTCCCCCTCGTCGTCGTCGAGTCACTCCTGCAGGCTGGCTGCTGCCTTGTGCATGCACACAGACACAGACACATACGTACCAAAGTGTGTACTATTCCACTAATGACCAAAGTTTTTTGTCAAGTCCCCGACACATCATAAATTCAAAATGGAGGAAAACAAAAGCAAAGCTGCAGTATAACGCGGTGGCGCGGGCGACGGTTCACTCATACGTAGTGATATAAAGGGCAAGTTGTAGCCAGAGAAAGCGAGAAGCGGTATATATATATAGCCGCGCCGCGTATACTATGGCTAACCCTTCTGTACGTCTGTGTGTGTGTTGTAGCCCGAGCAGTGGCAGCGGCAGAAAAGGGGGTGGACGCTTAGACGGATAAATTGGAGAGAGAACAGAGAGAGCGTCGGGCAGCCTCGAAAATGGCGGACCCAATTAAGGGAGCTCTCTAAGCTGCAGCCATGGGCTATGTATACGTGTGTAGGATGCAGTGGCTCATGGTCTTTCTGCTGAAATATATAAGAGCCCGAGCCTCGCAAGGTACAACGACGACGTAGAAAAGAAAGAGAGAAAAGGAAAAAAAAAGCGACGACGACGAGGGAGAGTTTCGTGTCTTCGACCCCGCGTCGTGCGCGCAGTGTGTTGTACACGCGCTGCTACTGCAGCCCCCTTTTTTGAGGGCCTGCGGGAGCGTACCTCTTCAGGTCGAGACAGCGTCGCCAACCCAACCAACCCAACCAACCATCCACCCCCGCGACTAGCCTCGAGAGCCTCCTGCGAGAGCGAGGCTCTTCTCTCGTTTACGTTTGGCTGACCTTATAGCCATCCACTCTGTGCGCAGGGACCCCCTGCCGCGAGCTCTCATTGAGCGCAAAAAAAAAAAGAAGAAGAAGAGAGAACTTTTTTTTTCACTCCTGCTTCCCTTTTTCCATAGACGTATAGGTATATATATACGTGTACTCCTTGCCCCTGCGGCGCGAGCGAGCGCGATGGATTTACGATTACGCACGTATACTAATTAATAATAACCGAGGAGGACGGGGCGGTGCACCCACGCGCAAACACGACTGCACCGCGCACACACCCACCCTTGGCCAACTGCAACTCGTGCGACGTGGCGTTGCTGCAACAACTCCGCAAGTATCGTATGATGATATACAGAGAGGCTGATGCTCCAACGTCGGTGCGTCGACGATTTTTATAATCCTTGGTGTTGTTTTTTTTGTCTTTGATTCCTTCGATTGCGATTCGCGAGATAATTAAAAGAAAGAAATCAGATAACCTTATATGTTATATTTATTTCGGGCTTTGATTTATATACAATTATTTCGACTTCGCCACTTGCGGATTTACGATGTGAAGGTACTCGACATCTAGCGGCGGATGCTCGAAACGGTATCATCGTACGGTATCGTAAAGTGATTGAACAATTAACAATTGACTCAATAATTGTAACATAATTGTAACAGGAAAATCGCTGAAAACAATCAGATTAATGACGATGTCCTTGACAACATCTTGAAAGGTCATTTATCGGTCATCAAGTCGATATTAAAGTTAAGAATTTTTACCAGGGCTTATAATGGATGTTGATGATCGTTCATTGAAGTCCCAGAAACACGGTAAAACCTGGGAACGAGGAATATTTGGATATGAATTTTGTCAACAGCTATTTTTGTCTTCCAATGAACCAAAACTCGCGTCTCTATGTAAATATGACTATTTATTTCCGGTTTGACATTGCCAAAATAAATCTAAACTATTCTGTGATTGAGTAAAAAATAATTGAATTTGCGCATTGATTCAGTGAGAAAAATACTTAAGATACGTTCTTAGTAACCTAAGGATTTACACAAAAATTTCTCTGTTACAGCAATTTTTTATGAAACTATTCTTGTTCACCATACAATAGTTTCTTTGTTGTTACAACTATAATTTCTTGGCTTTGCTTCATTTATATTGATAAATTGTAATGTACGCATGTTGAAATGATCTGTAAATAATACTAAATTCAACTTAAATCTGTCGAAGAGCATATGAAGCTGTGTTCGTTCCGTTGTTTACGTCGCGATTCCCGAAAGGCACAATATGCATGAGATTCTCCACACGCAACGTTTCGCCGTGAATGCCATGATAGCGCTACGCTACACGTGGACTATAATGCGAAGCTGGTCGCGCATAACATAAAGTTCTTCGCATCGACACAGTATGAAATATATAGCGAGCACAGTGTATCGCTCTCCCGCACAGTATTTTCGTGTTGAGTTAGTTAGAGAAGTAAAATCATCTCAGGAAGTGCCGACGACTAATTGTTGACGAAATTTCGAAGCGAGAAATATGGAATCCATTGACCATTGTATCAAGTAATTTTCATTTTTTGAGATGATAAATACATGACAACACATGACTTGATCTCATTGAGGTTATTTCAGAGTGAAAGAGGAGCCTTGTGATGCACCACTCATTGAAAATGATGGTGAAATGATTGACGAGAAACCCGATCTTAAGAACATCCAACTCTTACCACATCTGCCAGAAAATTCAGTAAGTGTTGATAATTATATTTGCGTAAGTTGTAATTGTGTGTAACTTATACATTTACATTTTCGACAGATGCCTACCGCTCGGAAATGTGAAGGAAATCATGATATTGTACGCGATGATAAATTGAAAATAGTTTTTGAATGCCAAGACGTCAAGCCCAACATTAATTTATCATCAGTTCAGAAAATTGAAGATGATTCGCGAGATATCGAATATAGTGATGGTTGTAAAACTCAAAACAAAATTAATATAGATCCTGCAGTAGTAGTAAAACAAGAAATCGTGGGTGATGCTGCAGAAGGATCGAATTTGAATTTCGACCCTATAATTGTCGAACAAAATAAAAAAAGAAGAATTACAAAAAAACTTAACGAAGATCATGATCTCAAAAAATACATGGGTGCGATGCATAGCAATACAACCCTAGCATGTGAAATATGTGCAAAGAAATATTCAAATAAGTATAATCTTAAAATCCACATCGAGTCGGTGCATAGTGGAATCACTTACGTATGTGATATATGCCAAAAGACATTCTCAAGTAATAGTAATCTCAAGAAACACATCGATTCAGTACACAATAGAGCCACATATGCATGTGATGTATGTGGTAAGTCATTCTCACAAAAAGGTAGTCTTAAAAGACACATCGATACCGCACACAATGGCGTTAGATATGCATGTGATATTTGCGGCAAATCATTTACTCAAAAATTTGGTCTCAAAAAACACGTCGATGGAAAACATAATGGTGTCAAACTTGAATGTGATGTTTGCAGAAAGTCATTTTCACTTAAAACTAATCTCAAAACCCACATCGATTCGGTGCACAATGGGGTCACATGTGTATGTGATGTATGCGGAAAATTCCAAATCCACATCGAATCGACGCACAATGGTGTTACATACGAATGTGATAGATGTGGGAAGAAGTTTAAAGAAAAGGCTAATCTAAAACTTCATATTGACTGGATGCACAACGGTGTTAATGCATTCAAAACGTGTGGCAAGAGGGGAATTCGCAAACAAAAGTAATCTCAAAAGGCACATAGATTCGAAGCATCATAAAATCACGCATCCATGTGATATTTGTGGAAAGAATTTATCAAACAAATTTAATCTTCGCAAACATATCAATTCGGTGCACAATGGTATCACGCATGCATGTGATATTTGCGAAAAAAAATACTCAACAAAGTATAAACTCAAATATCACATCGATTTCCTGCATAATGGTATTGCCGCTAACGCATGTCATACGTGCGAAAAGAAATTCTTAACTAAGAATTATCTCAGAACCCACATTGATTCGGTACATAATTGTATCACTCACGCATGTGACGTATGCGAAAAGATATTTACCCTGAAATTAAATCTGAAACGTCTCATTAATTCAAAGCACAGTGCTGGTAAATTAGGATGAAATATTTGCAAAAAAATACGCAACAAAGGGTAATCACAAAAACCACACCGAGGCAATGCATAATTGTACCACACATGCCCGCGCTGTACGTTACATACGGAAAGATATGCAAACAAACAATAAGTCTTCAAACCCACATTTATTTAGGGCAAGACTTCTGTATTACAATTCCATGAACGTGTTAAACTCAATATAGCTATTAAGAAAATTCAATAAAAAATGTTCATTCATACTGTTATTCATAAGTTAAAAAGTTAATTAACACGTAATTTATATAATAAAATTCACTTATCAGAATTGAATGGCTTCAATACTGTTTAAGCTATGTAACGGATCAATTTTTCATTAAAAAAATCGTTGAATATATCCCACAATTACCACGAATATTGCATTTTTTTCTCAGTGCATTCTAACACTTACCTCTTCAAAAAATTGTACCAATTACATCCGATTTTTTAAATCCATACTTTATTTATTTATTTTTTTGAGTTATTTGTACATTCCAATGCTAAAATACGATTAACAGAGAAATTTTAGAGAAATGTCAAATCATAGATGTTAAAAAAATATCAACAATAGACGCGTCTAACGACAAAAATTTCAATCGCAATTTTAGCCTCGATTTTTTAATAGAATCGATCACACGCACACAGAGCATACGCATCAAACGGGTGTCGGGACCCGCATGCACGTACGCGTGCTATACAAAACACGTACACAATAATCCGAAGCCTGCACAGCTTCCGGATACGAGGAGAACGAGAGCGAGAGTGAGAGTACATACATGTGTGTGTAATAATACTGGCTTGCGCGAATTAGCATACGTGCGGCGAGCACAAGTGCCGCATGTAGCGCCAAGTTATTTATACAACGCAATGTCGCAGTAATATCTTGTCGAGTAAGGCCACTTTTATATATTTATTATGTTGCTACACGATATACACCTGATCTTGATCTGCGCGTGTGTCTATACGTAACGAGAACGAGATAATTTGCAATATGGACCAGTGAAACTGGTATGCGGTCATCCCTCTCTATATACGTACGTTTCACCTACCGTATCTCGCACCTTCAACTGGTTTTGACCATTGTCCAGTTCTCGCGCTCGCGCACGCCGATATGACTTATTTAGGTACACGATGATGATGTACCTGACCTACGGCGCTAAAGGGGATGAATCTCTGACCGGATGATTTTTTAAATATACTCGTTTACCGCATACGCGGCGATGACTGCGGGAAAACGGCAAAAACAAATCGATCGAAGAAAGAAACGAACATACATAAATCGTTGTGCGTCAAACGGAAACGTCGAGTATTATAGAGTCGAATAAAATAAAAAGGAAAGAAAGGTGAAAAACGTCGAGCCTCCCACTCGCGCGCACGTGTATACGGCTCGAAACGGTAAAAATTCATAGCATTTCAACAAAAGCGCGTGTTCAAGCCTTATACGTGGTTTGATATCGACTGCTGCTACTACCACCACGACGGCGTAAAGCAGCTAGCGAGCGAGTGAGTGAGAGAGAGAAAACCTATACACGCTTGGCATATCATACAGTCGCGACTACTATATGTACGGCTCGGCTCTGCTCTCTCTCTCCGCTTCGTCTGCAAGATCAAAACGTACGCTTGGTTGAGCGACGACGACGACGACGACGACGATTTTATCCCAGGGCCGGGGGTGTACGCGGCGCAGAGAGAGTGAGGTGCAGAGAGTAGTCGTCGTCGTCGTCGTCGTTGGGTAGATATGTACGCAGGGTATAACTGCTGTATGTACCACCCGCGCCTGGCTGGTATATATATTCGAGAGGTAAAGAGAGAGAGAGAACTGCGAGCGGTGAAGTGAAGAGCCCAAGCCGGCGACACTCGAGCCTTCCTCATCCGTACAAGGGTCCATCTCGTAGCAACGCCCACGAGCCAACGAGCGCAGGAGAGCGAGAGAGAGGAAACGCAGAGAGAGAGAGAGAGCGCAACTCACTGTGAATCGATATGTAGATGTATATAATGTGCTGCATGTATTTCAGTGCAAAAGGCACTGGACTGGAAAAAGCTTCGGGCAAAGGCCTAAGATTCGCTTCGTGCGCTTCGCAGCAGCGGCAGCGGCTGCTATATAAAAGCTACGGCTGCATTTTTAATTTCATGTATATAGGTGGGTATACATACGGATCGTTGTGCGAGGTCGTAAGTACGCTCCGGTGCGATGCACGCGAGGACGTGTATTACGCGAGAAAGGGGGGTTGTTTCGTTGTCGGGATCCTTGAAATTCGCGCGTCGCGATGATCTCTTTTTTTATACACAAACCTTTTTAATCCCGTATAGATTTCGTCGTAGGAATGGCAAAGCGAAGACTGAAAAAGAAAAAAAAATCGGGTTGCGTTCCTGTGCACGCAAATAGGCGCAATCTTCCGTAGCGGCTCTGTGTGGCGTGCACGTGGCTCGTATGTATATGTACGAGCGAAACATCTGTACATATGCGACTCGAGATCGAAGCCGAAAATTGAAATCCGCCCTTTTGTGATAGACGCCGAGATACGCGTACTCCATACACGCTCAATGTCGCGGATAATTTGATAAAAATGGCGCCCAACCTGACTCGCGCACACGCACACACGTACTTGCAGGCTGCAGCGGTATATTGAAAAAAAAAAATTCTTCAAACGCAAAAGTTCGAACGTCGCGCGGCGGGTACTACGTAGTTATTGACCAACGATGCGCGCGTCTTATCTCTCTCTCTCTCTCTCTCTCGCCATGCGAGTTGCCGAGGCTATTGACGCGCGAATGCCAGCAAAAAAAAAAAAATAAATAAAAGAAACCCTTTCTCTCGCTCTCCTCTTTCTTTCTCTCTTTCTGCTACAACCTCCACCCCCGCGAAGTCGCGTTTACATACATGTGTGTGTACAAAGAGAGAGAGAGAGAGAGAGAGAGAGAGAGCGAAGTGCATGTATAAACATCTCGCCAACCTCTCTCTCTCTCTCTGTTTCTCTCTTTCTTGACTCGAGCGCCCGCGTACATGTATACAAATTTCTTACGGTCGACGAAAGCGAGAAGAAGAAAACTTTTGCGTTAGCATAATATAATGGCGAGATATACATACGTGTACGCGTCACCTATACACATCGCGACTATTGTGTACGTAGTTTCTGCATCGTGTACAGCAGCAGCAGCCATATTTATGACGCGCGGCAAGAAAGCCGCTATGGATCGACAATGGTCACGCGCGTTTTATAATAAACGTATACACTATTATACATCGCAGCTCGACGATTCCGCGTCCTATATAAATTTCCATACGCGCGTATTATGATAAATATTTCGGTGATATCGATAAATCACTGTAAAAGTATGTAAAACTGAACGACACACGTCGACGCGGCCCCGGGGAATAGATGAATTTTATCGTAACAACGACGAATAGAACGGATATCAAATGAAAAACTGACCGGTGTTGCTTGCCCGTGCGCCATGATGGTGTTACACCCTGTGACTCCATAAAGCATCGCGCGGCGCAGCTATGTGTATAGACGAGAAACACGACGGACTAGCCTCGGGGGTATACGGTACATGCTAGCTAGGCCGCAAACACGCGTAACTGCGTCGTAAACGCTCAATCGTTGACAATTGATAAATCCCTCTCTCTCTCTCTCTCTCTCTCTCAACCGGTAATAATACACATACATACATACAATACACACAGCCGAACGCGAGCTAAGGGGGTCGAGTCTATATAATAAACGCGAAAAACCAGCCCGATCCGCGGAACCAGTCCTCGGTGGACGACGGCGCGCGTAGGATCCGGTCCGACCATTTCCGGGCGGAGGCTTGGCCCCCGGACGCGCGACGCAGTCCCGAACGTGTCAACACACCGGAGAGGCGGGCCGCTGCTGCTGCAGGCCCGAGAGAATATTTACGCCTGGAAATTATTTCCAACGCGCGCGACGATGACAAATGCGCCGGGCTACAAATTATTTCGAGCTGTATATACCACCAGGTCGTTTGCAGGAAAAGAAGCGACCCCGCGCGATAAGCATCGTGCATGGTATTTATATATGTGCCGGCCTTCGTACGCATTTCCTCCGTGATAATTATTGGCACACGTTCGAGAGCCCACCGAAGACGGGTTTTTTTTTCTTCTTACTTACGGTGAGGTTGTTGTATATGCTATACGTGTATAATATTTATAAGAAACGGAAGATACGTGTCCATACGAGTAAGGGTTGGACACGCGCGGACCTGGGACTATGTAAATTATCGCTGTAGATTTATAAAACCTTAGAGTTATACATTTATAATTTGTTTTGTATAAAATATAAGCCGTAAGCGTGAATTAATCAAATTTTTTTTATTTTCTGTTGCAGGATCTGACTTCGACTCTTTACCAAATCAGATTGGTTGCGTGAAATCTTCACAACGTGCGACATCCAATTGATTATACATCCTAAAAAAATGATCAAATAAACAATAAATAAAGAGATAGTAATAATAAAAAAGTATATCCCATATCCGAAACTCATCCTTATCCCAGCCTCGAGACACAAGCTCGAGGCTCTTCGAGTGCGCGAGTTGCGAAAGAGAGAGAGAAAAGCTCACGAGTCCCGGCTATCATCGTAATAATA